CCACAGCAATATCCATCACTGTACAAAATCAAAAGAAATGTAACCAGCAATTGAAGAATATTCAATGGTAACTTAACACGACAGAATTTTCAACAACAGAAAAAAGTGCTAACGAAATTATATTTGACGTCAAACCATGTGACTGTTTCCAAAATAAAATTTTTCTTCAATTACATGAGGAGGCGATTTAACATAAATTTCCGAAATTTGAAAAGAAGCTGCTGCCAATATAAACATGAAGCGCCAACAATGAAGAGAACGGCACTATAGTCGACATAAGAAGCAGAAAATTTATGAACTTGAAGATTTAGTAGTTGTTCAATGCAACGTAAATACAAAGGTCCTTATGTCATCAGCAAGATGCTTGGGAATGATCGACACTTGCTGGAAGATATCTCTGGAATAAATACGAGCCGAAGTTATACCGGAATTTTCTCTTCCGATAATAAGTTTTTCGAACCAAATCATCTTCAGCGATGAGACTCATTTTTATCTTGATGGTTTTGTTAATCGATAAAAATGTCGCACTTGGGGTTTAGTGTTTGGTTGAGTTGGAGGCATCGTCGAACCATTCTTCTTTGAAAATACAGCTGTTCAAACAATAACGATTAATGGTGCTCGCTATCGCGGCATGATAATACACTTTTATGTGCCAAAATTGCAAGACATGGATGTAGAGAGAATGTGGTTTCAACAAGACGGTGCCACATGCCATACATCCCGAGAAAAAATTCAATTATTGTATGAGTCATTTACGATCGTGTAATTTCCCGTTTTGGTGATCAGAATTGATCGCCCAGATCATGCGATTCAATGCCTTTGGATTTTTTTCTTTGGGTAACTACGCAGGAAATTGCATGCAGGAAATTGAGTGCTGTATCAGCGAAATTCAGCAACGTTGATTTTGTGCAAAATAATCATGAAAAATTTCAACAAAAGAGGCCATTTACCCGATATGTTATTCCATACTAACCCTCTACTGTATATTATATAAATCAATAAAAAATTTACAATTTTTTATTATAAACCTGTGTTTTCATTACTTCCTACATGAATTTTGGGACATGAATGAAAAATATCAAGGCCTGGACTGGACTCTTATTTTTTTGTGAATGTGTGTGTTAAAGTTGGGAATGTATTTGTAGCTTGACATAACAAAAACATCATTATTTCTGCCAGCCGTGATTATTATGTCAGTAAAATGATATTTGTGAATCATCTTTTTTTTCTGATTTTTTTTATTCTCCTTTCATATCGAGTGTTCTATAAAAAAAATTGACTAGAATCTAACAATTTTTATATTAAAAACACACTTGGAGTTTTCTGAGCAACACATCAAAAATTCAAGTTTCAAATCGAAATTTCAACTATAATTTTGATTAAATATATTTTTCAGTTTGTAAAATATATTTTTCAGTCTGAATAAAAGAAAATTTGGGGCTTGCTAAATTTTTTGGTCTAGAACACTGTCCTGCAGTATAAGGCCACCAGATTAAAAATATTTTCCGAACTTCGGGTCAACTTGGATACAAATTGGATGTTTTTTCTCAATTTATTTTCTATTGAAATTATTTAATTTGAAAAGAACTATTAAGAAGCCTTTTCGTTGGCTTAATATTTTTTTATTTTTATTTTCGTATACTATGAGACATTATGAACAATTAAAGGTATTTATTGCTCCTTTTTAGGTTATTCTAACTTAAATCTTAAATTCTAAAATGTTTAAATTATTGGTTAAATGATATTAGTTATATGTATATACAAAAACATAACCAATAACAGCAAATTTTTATTTCCATACTACGATTTTCTTCAAACTTGGAATAATTTTGTAGCTCGTAAACTGAATTTTAACAATGCTTTAGAACTTTAAACATACTACGAATTTCAAACGTCTTTTTTATTATCAAACATCCTATGTTGGCAGATTTCAAAGTTATGGCTTGTCAAAGATATTTTGTATTAATTTCAAGTTAACACTGATTATTTAAAATAGCCAATAATTTCTTGGATACAGACATGTTTTTAGTAATGTTTTGTAATAAAAGGAAGAGTTTGGTGAATTTATCCTATGAAAATTTTTCAATTTAAAATTTATTTTGATTTTTCTTTTATAATTTAATTCATTACCTTTTCAAATGGCAATGGGGAAGGTCTGTATCGGTTGATTTTCTATAAATTTTAGGAAATATACCTATTTTTAATAAAATATATTTTGAATTCAAATTTCCGTCTTTTGGCAATTTTTTTTTGCAAACATTAAATAAAATTCAAAATTTAATAATATAAAAATATTTTTAGGTATTTTTATATGTAAATTATTAAAAACATAAAAGGACGGTGATAATATTTTGTTCTTCATATAAACTCTTTACACTTTTTCAAAAGTCGTAAAAGAAATACATAGTTGCTCACTCTACGTGGTGGCCTTATACTTACCAGAGCAGTGTCTAGAGAATATACGACATAAAATAAAGTTAACGAAAGTTTTATTAGATTTAAGGTTAGAATTTAAATTTCTAATTATTAAATTTTAAGTTTTAATTATTATTTTAATTATTATTATAGTGCTTTTGTAGGTTGATAATCATTATAAAAAACTGAACGCTCAAAGATTGCTCCTATTTAAAAACGGACATAATACAAATATTATAAAAAAAACGTGTATAAGCTTTTTACTTGATACGGTAGTTTTGGTAAATCAACAAAATAATACACAATGCAATGGTTTTTATGAATTATGAAGCATATTAATTTAACTAATACAGCGAACAGATAAAAAATATATAAATACATATGTGATTATATAAAAAGTCAAAAAGACGTATCATACAGTATTAGCAAACTTGTTAATCTCAAATCTTCCCAAATTTGAAGAAATAGACAAAAATCAACTTAATACTTCGAAAAAAAAAAATTGCACTTCTGGTAGTGTGGCGTTTACTGAAATCTTAAAAAATTAAAGTTTTACTTAAAAAATCAAGGTCTTTTTTAAATAATTTTTTAATGTTTTAATAACACAAAACTTTAAGAATGTAAACACTAGTAAAATAGGAAAGATTGAATTTCAACTCATTCATTTTGAAGATACGCTAAAAAAATCTTCACGAACCCTTCGAAATCCTCAATTGAAGTTAAATCGCGAAAAACAGAAAGCCAAAATATCACGATTTCAATTCGAACCAAATCAAGCATCAAAATTTATGACATGCACAATAACATAAGATGTTATAAGCCGGATTTAGTTTTTGCGCCAAATTGATTAATATAGATTTAAATGAAGCGGAGAATATCAAAAATTTTCTGCCATAGAAGTAGCGTTACCATGTGTTGCCTATTAAGTTGACTTTTCGATCAAAATGTCTTTTGTGAACTTTCGAAAATATAAAAAGTGCAATAATTACAATTGTGAAAAACTTCAGTAGCATTAAAAAACGTTAATTTTAGAGATGTTATCGTATGGAAAACTTAAAAATCTTAAAAATCTTATTCTGAAGTTTTGCACAAAAAATATGACCAAAAAAATTGTATTTTTCAATTAAATTAAATTTTTTCTCATTTTAAAGATTAATCTTTACTTTTGGCAGTGCTTGACGTGGGAAATATCCGGAACAAACAAAAACTAACACAAAAAACACTTAATTATTGCGTCGGTTCAACGTCTGTCAAAAATCACGTGTTTCCAAAACAAAAATAAAGTAATAATTGGAAAAAAGATTATAAAAATATGTTTACAAAACTACTGTTATCAGAGTGGCAAACAATAACTGCGCATGAGATATTTACAAACTTCACGTGGTAATTTCTCTTAAAAACTTGTTTGCTGACAAATTTCAAAGTTTAAATATGTTTTTTGCCAGTAAAATTCCATTTTCATAGCTTGCTTACAACCACTTGAAGGAATCGCCTACGGTATGAAGATGTATATACATACATATGTGTGTATATTCCAGCGTCAGTGATTTAGATATGTTCGATCGCATGATAACTCAAAAAGGAATACATCAAACATACTCAAATTTTAACAAATTGTTTCTTTTAGGCCAAGGACAGTTGCTATAGATATTGGACAAATTAAGACAATGGGTCTGGATAGCTGCTATAAAACTCAAAGAGTTTATTTTAAATATTTCAAAAACAAGCCAAGTCAGATTCAGAAGTCAGATTGTCAGGGTGCAGAGTAAAATTCAGTCGGTTTAGCAACTGTGTTACCATTTCATGATGTATGCGTTGTTTAAATACGCTATGAAATTTTTTTTCTAATTTTTTTTTCCATGTTTTAATTTCTTATACGCGAGAAAATGTTTTGCAATACCATTAAAAAGATTTAGTTTTTACTTGTCCTGCACCTTATAAAAAATTGAATGCATCTTTCTTTTATCGATTAAAAATTTTATCGATAATGTTTAATTCAAAATCGTTTGTTTTCTCACAACTAAATTTTTTTTATAAAAGAAAATATTTTTGATTTCTAAGCTCAACATGAAGTATAATTTTTAAAATATACACTCCGAATAACATAACAAAATTTTTTTTAATAAATAAATTTTTTCAAAAGGTTAAGAATGCCTTCAAACTAAATATAAATATAATGAAGAAAGATTCATGAAACTCTCTGTTTCTATAAGTTCACTTTGTTTAATTTATCTTCAAATACAAGATATTTAAAGTAAAAATATTTCGCTGCATTATATGATAACTTCAGTTTATATTTTCTAACAAACAAATACATGCATATATTGGAGCACATCACAGTTTCTCTTTTTTTGAACAAATAATTATCAAATATTTCAACTGATAAATATTTCAACTGATTTGAACAAATAATTATCAAATATTTGTCAGCTGATTCAAGTTTAAGTCCTTTCTTATCTATAAAAAATTATACTCTACCATTCTAGTTAAACAAAAATGGATCAATATTGTATATCACACATTTCTACAACAACAGCTGTGTTAAAGCAATTTTAGTAAGTATTATTCATTTCTATCATATATGTGACAGCCATGACATAGTTAAGACATGAATTCGGTTTGCGAGTTAATAAATTGTTAAAAAAAAGCAAAAGAAGTATAAGTTAATTTAAAAAATTATAGTTAAAAAATTTTCCTCACCTATAGGTAAAGTGAAAAGCGTTTATATAATCAAAATAGATAATATTTGTGTTACAATATTAGAAAATGTAAAAATAAAACATCATGGAAAATCAAAACAAATCTTGGGTGTGACAAAATAGTCGTTATTTTCAATCATTGTGCTTTGATTTATTGATGTTAATTTTATAATCAGTGATTTTATAAAAACTTCGTCAATAAATTTTAAATAAGTTTTTTACATTTGTGGTTCCTTTTTTTTAATTTTCAATAATTTTTCACTTCATTATATAATTTCAAAATGGCGGAAATGAAAAACTTTAAGATACTTGTCCTTGAATTAAACGGAGTCTGCGTTAAAATAAAATTACTTTGGAATAAAATTTTTTTTTAATAAAATTAAAATATGTTTCCAAGATTCTGTAAATTAATTATATGATCTATTTTAATTTATTAATGATTTTTTATATCAATTGATAAAAATTATATTAATATAAATTTAATAAAAAAAGCATTTTTTAATTAACATTAAATATAAATGGGACAGTAGACTTACAGTTTAGTAATAATACATTTTCCTTTGAAGGACTTCCAACATATGTACATACAAAATATCTAAATTGGGTTTATAAAAATTTGCAAAAGAAGTTTCCGTTAATTGGGATTATTTGAGTGTTATTTAAAATCTTTTATGTTAAACTAGCAAACGACTAATTTTTCTTTGCAAGAAAAGATTAAAGTCAAAAATTTAATATTTGTTTTTTAATTTCAAGTTTCATCTCTGCAAATATTGGTTTAACAGGATTTCCAAACTTGGACTGATTGCCCTAAAACTGGAGTATTTTTGATGCTACCGTGTAATACCTAGTGCAATTTTTATTTTGGATAATTTTGGGTAATTTTAATTTTTGTGAATTAGCATTGTGATTTAGCATAATCAAACAGTATCTAAAGTTTGTGATTTTGAATTTTCATTTCGTTATAAAAAATATTTTGTCAAAAAAACGACTCACTTGTTATGCTTATATAAATAAACAATATATTTCACGTTATTATAGGAGGCCTGTCTAGAATAACTTGAAAAAACTTTTAAAAAATTTAAAAATATGCGATAAACATCAAATTTCAAAGTATCTATCAAATATAAGCAAATAGTTTTTGGTTACTTATACCAAATATTTTGATTTCGAATTATAAAAGTGTGATATTTAGAAAAATTCATTTGTGAACCAATTTTGGTTATTACCGACCGTATTGTGTATCTGTATACAACAGGTAGGTTACGTGATGGCAACAAATTTTGCATATCTAGTTTTCGGAGGGAATGCACTTCTTCATGGTAGGGAAGTGTAAATAAACTATTTTTAGCAACTTGTCGGTATGTGAGTGCACGCGAATTACGTTTATTTTATTTTTCCGTAATAAAAAAAAAAATAAAAACACCAAAATTTAAATTTTAGTTACTTATTTATTTATTTAACTTTATTCTTCGGAATAACAGTTAACCGATTTATTCTAGAGTAAACTTAATAATAATTGATTTTAAAATTGAATTTATTAACTTAAGGTACTTGGAAGCATAAAATTATTTAGTCAGCAGTAATTACTTTAAGTGTGTTAATTTTATTTTAGTAATTTGGTATTTTATGTGAAAACAATTTTTTTTATGTTAAAGAAATTACTGTTGATTATGATTTTTTTTTGTATTATGGAAATTTATAATGAAATAAGAAATATGAAATTTATGGGAAAGAATTTTATTATTTTAAGTTAACGGAAAATTTTGTTAAATTTTATAAAAGAAAGACGACGGAAATGAGGTGTCGTCTTTCGAATTGACCTTACTTGAGTTTACTGACATGACTCCTCCTTCCCTTGTTTGAAGACTCTCCTGAGTCGTCATATTAATTTTAATTTTAAAAATTTTGTACATCCAATCAAATATTACAATTATGATCAAAATAGTAATTATAAATATAAATGTTATAATTTAATATATACATATGTATAATAAGATTGTCTTTTATACTTAATTTTTTCTGTAATTTTACTAAGATTTTCAATTTGATTTAGGATAATTATTAAAATAATTATTTATATTTATAGAACAATTATTAAAATTGATTAGATAATTTCCTTTGAGAAGAAAAGATCTTTCATCACAATTACTAGAAAGATTTACATTATTTTGATTCTTGGCAATTACTAAACCTTTTTCAATTTCCAAAACTTCTGATATATTATTAAATGATTTATTGCAATTTCTTTTTTACTAAGCAATGGCTTGATAATTTTAAATTTTTCAAATCCGTAAGATTTTTAATTTTAATGCATAGTCAGTGTAAATTGTTTGTCATGTTCTCGAATCATGTTGAATTTTCTCGAAATTGTATTTCTGTCTTGTTCTATTGCTTCTTTAAGTTTCACGAAAGATTCATTAAAATTCTGATTAATCTAACCAAGTTCTGTATCAATTTTTTCTACTGTTAGATGTCCCTGGCAAAATGTCAGTATTATTGTCAGCAATAGCATTTTGAAGATTAATTTTATCTGAAAATTTTGATTTTCTCTTAATAGTAGAAGAATGAATGTTATCAAGAGCATGTTTTTTATATTTAGGTTGTTCTTTGTGCCTAACTGTTTTATAATTTTTTATATAACCTTCTACTCTATCATCTTGGTAATTTTCTCTTTTAGGATTATTTTTATTTAGAGACCTAGTTTTTTCTTTAAGGATATTATTATAAATTATTTTTATGCCACATTTACCTTCCTGGATATTTATTGGTTTTTCCCTGGTTGTGGAATGATAACTATTACTATACCATTCCGAAACCCTAAAAATTTTTTCTTGAATATTAAGGTCCTCATTTTCAATTCCTAACATTCTAATTTTTCCGCTAAGTTTATTATGTAATCGTTCTATGTTAGAATTCCCGGTATGAGAATTCGGTTTAACTAAATGAAGTTCTATATTTTCCTTTCTTAAGAAGTCCTTTATATTTACGTTACGAAATTCGTTGTCTGTTACTAATTTTTTAAAATACCCTCTTTGTGATTTGTATTCCCTTAATTTTTCAATTATAGTTTGGTTGTTTCTGTCCTCGAGATAGTAAGCGATTGCAAATTTAGAGAATTTATCTAAGAAGGTAAGGAAATTTGATTTAGAATTCGTGTATACATCCATGTGTATAATCTGTTTGATATTTTCAGGAGTTTCAGTGAATTTGAATTTTTTTCTTATTGGATTCCTGTCATACTTTTCTCTATTACAAGTGTCGCAATTGTTAATGTATTTTTTAAGAAGAGCTTTGAGGTTCGGAAAGTATATATGTTGTTTTAAGCCCTCGTAGTTTTCCAAAATTCCGGTATGTCCAGTCTCTAGTCTATGATATTTGTTTATTTGTTTGTAAGTTTCGTCTTCTGTCTTCATGTCTTTTGCATGAAATGAACATTTGACAAATTTTATTCCCTTAATGTCACTAAACAGTTCCTTTAATTTTTGTTGCAAAATGTTATATTTATGGTCAGGTAGGTCTGTGTAAATTCCTATTTTACCCGGTCTTTGTATCTTCTTAGAATGTCGGAGAGATTGTTTTGTAAGTCTTGCGAATTTATATAAATTTTCCTATTCTTATGTATTGTCTCCATTTCTCTAATTTTTGGTCTGTTAAAATAAGTTGTGTTTTAAATCGGTTCACAACCGTCTCCAGTATTGGTATATGATCATTAAGGTCTTCCTGTCAACATTGTTGTGTAAAGAATTTGTATCTTCGTCACCGCCCCTTTCTGAGTCAATCGTCTCGATTGCATTTATTTCACGAGTCTCATTATTTATTTGTTCAGAAAATCAGCAACTTTGTTTTCTTTACCCTTTATGTAATCAATGTTAATGTTGTATTCCCCTAGTTTCAGTTGCTGAGTATTTCCTCTCATGTTCGTTGAGGGTCCTACTGGCGAAACATACTGGGTGGCTGTCTTGTTGGAGAACAGCACCAATAGTATATTGGCTGGCATCCGTTACAAGTTTAAATTTTTTGTTAAAGTCAGGGTACCTGAGTATGGGCGTTTCAGTAACCAGTTTTTTTAATTTTTCAAAAGAGTTTATATAGTTAGAGTCGTTTGTGTCCAACTTCACATTTTTCTTTAGGTACTGAGTCATAGGCTGGGCTACCTTAGCGTAGTCCCGAATAAATTTTCGGTAGTAGCCAGACATACCTTAAAACGATTTTATTTGTTTTTGAGTTTCCGGTAATTTCAATTTACGGATATCCTCAACCTTCTTGGGATTCGGTCTAACTCCTTCGGGTGTTAGAATATGGCCCAATTATTCGGTTTCTTTCGAAAAAAGATTGCATTTATCGAATTGAATCTTAAGATTAAATTCGCGTAATTTATTACATATCAACTTTATAATGTTAATGTGTTCTACTAGAGTTGTACTGAAAATTAGTATATCGTCGAGATAGACGACACATATTTTATTTATAAAATCTCGAAGAATAGATTTCAGTAGGCGCTGAAAAGTGGCTGGTGCATTTTTCAGGCCAAAAGGCTTCCTTATATACTCATAGTGCCCCTGAGGAGTAGAAAAGGCTGTTTTCTTTTTATCTTCCTCCCTTACCAAAATTTGATGAAAGCCCTTGGCAAGATCAAGAGTGGTGAAATATTGTGTCCTGCGAAGTTGGTCTAATATAGTCTCGATGTTAGGAATGGGGAATTTGTCGTCAACCGTCACTTCATTGAGTTTACGGTAGTCGATCACAATTCTCCACTTCTTCTGTCCTGAACTGTCGGCTTTTTTCTGTACAATCCATAAAGAACTATTGTAAGGTGAGTTGCTTTCTTTTATTATTCCTTGCTTAAGCATGTCAGATATTTGTTTCGATATTTCCTTCTCATGTATTTGAGGGTATCTGTATATTTTAAAATATATCGGTCTGTCAATAGTTGTTATGATTTGATGTTGAATTTCTGTAGTGTTAGTTAAATAGTCTCCCTCTTTAAAGAAGAGATCGCTATAGTTATTTAGTAATTTATTTAAATGAGTCTTTTCTTCAGAGTTTAGAGATTTCTTCAAATTTTCAAAGTCATTGTTACTTATACTACTGTAATCTAGTTGGTGAATTTCATTTATATTATAAGGACAACTATCTAAAAATTTAATTTTATTATTATTTATTTGTAATAGAACTCATTTTCCATATCAATTATTGCTTTTAGAGCCTAAGAAGATTCGGACCTATTATGCCATGAAAATCCTTATTGTCAAATTTAACTAGTTTCCAGATCATTTCTGCATCTTCATTAAACTCTAATGGCAAATTTGTTTTTATTTCTTTATTGACATATATAGTTCCATTTATGGTGCTAAAAGGGATAGGTTTCTTAATATTATACCTCTTATATCTAGGAAGTTTATTATGATCTAAAAGAGTGGTTGAAGAACCTATGTCTATTAAACATCTGATTCTTTCATTCTCTATTGTTAGTTCTAAAATTTACCTCACCCTGAATATGATCTACTTCCATCGGTTCCTGGTGATTAGCTCTATAATTATTATTGAATCTTGTTCGTCCAGAATTATTGGAACTATTATTATTATTATTGTAATTATTAGCATGGTTGTTGTTATTGCTACGATTAAATATAGTCTGTCCTGAGTTGTTAGAGTGTCCTAAATATCTATTACTATTTCGAAAATTAAAATTTCTCTGATTATAGTTTGAATTTGAATTAAAACTTTTATTATTTTTTGGAATATTACAAAATTTATTTTTATTATCAAACCGATTGCCATAGTTATTGTTGGAATTTCTTTCTCTAATTAAATTTGAACTAGTTAAAGTATTGTAGGCTTCTCTTAAGCTCTGAATGTTTTTATTTAATATTAGATAGACGCCAAATTTGCTTCTATATTATTTAAGAAAATTCCTAAAATTACGGATTCATTTGTTTTAGGACTGAATTCCTTAGGTTTATTTACATCGAATTCATACTTTTCATTTAATTTCCCTAATATAACTTTTAACTTATTAAAAACTTCACTTACTGAACTTACAGATTGAACTTTTATAGATAGAGCCTCCTGGTACAGTTGATGATAAGTCTCCTTGACGCCGAAGTTGTTGACTAGGATTTCTTTCATGTTATCCCAGGTTGCATCTGGTCCTAATGTTCTTATGACTTCTAAGTCTGGTTCTGGTATCTTATTTATAATAGTTCTTTGAAAGACATATTGCTTTAGATCAGGATTACTGTTGAATAGAGGTAATATAGTATCAACCTCTCTTAGAAATGACGACAAAGCATAATCGTCACCTCCTCTGAATTCGTGGATGCGTGTAGCATCCCTTAATAAATCACTGACAGTTAGAGTAAATTGATTATTATTATTATTATTATTATTATTTGTGTTATCACTATTTAATGCCATTTCTGTTTGTGTTTTTTCAGGAATTTCGTAAATTAAGTCTTTCACTTTTTATTTTTGTTTTTTCTTTTGGCATTCGTTTTTTGTTTTTATTTTAATTTTTTCAGGTTTAAATTTATTATGATTAATTATTTTAAAACTTTAAATTACTTTTTTATTTTTTACTATTTAAAATTTTAAATTATTTTTATTTATTTTTTATTACTATTTTAAAATTTTAAATTATTTTACAAATTAAAAAAAAAATTTGGCAAAGTTTAAACTTTAGTTTAAATTGTTAAGTTGTTTATAAATTTAAATTTATAACACTTAGTGAGGTTCGATCACTAAACTGTTTATCTTTGGATAGCAGAATTACCGTTCTGCGCCAATTACGTTTATTTTATTTTTCCGCAATAAAAAAAAAAATAAAAACACCAAAATTTAAATTTTAGTTACTTACTTATTTATTTAACTTTATTTTTCGGAATAACATTTAACCGATTTATTCTAGAGTAAACTTAATAATAATTGATTTTAAAATTGAATTTATTAACTTAAGGTACTTGGAAGCATAAAATTATTTAGTCAGCAGTAATTACTTTAAGTGTGTTAATTTTAGTTTAGTAATTTGATATTTTAGCTTTAATGTGAAAACAATTTTTTTTACAAGTATGTGAAAGTAATTACTGTTGATTATGAGTTTTTTTTTTTATTATGCAAATTTATAATGAAATAAGAATTATGAAATAAGAAATATGAAATTTATGGGGAAGAATTTTATTATTTTAAGTTAAGGGAAAATTTTGTTAAATTTTATAAAAGAAAGACGACGGAAATAAGGTATCGTCTTTCGAATTGACCTTACCTGAGTTTACTGACATGACTCGCGTGTATCTAAAGTTCGGCTAAACAGATTTTGATGAAATTTAATATGCAAACCTATTTCGAGAATGCACGGATTGATAAACTTTTGGGATACATCAGGGCTCGAGAACTGCACTTTTTAGCGGGCCCTTTTTACATTTTTGACCATTTTGAAGAAATTCACTTGAAATTTCTCATATAGCTTAGCTCGACAATCCGCGAAGTCTGCTAACTTTTGGAAGAAATCAGGCGTCGGTAACTGGACGTTTACTACGGGCCAAGTATACATTTTTCCGTATATAAAGAGAAATAGTCAACCGATTCGAAGAAGAGAAATAATCTTCGTATTACAACAATTAACATATATAGTAAAGATCAGGGCTCGAAAACTGATCTGCGGGCTGATTATACATTTTTCACCATATCTACGGAACGAATTGATGGAATTTCTTGAAATTTGATATTTCATGAAATTCGGGTAGCACAAAGCGAAATTCTACTATGAGCCAAATTTACATTTTTCTGGGTATGTTAACTTTAAGCTTACTAATGTCCTAAAAATTAAAAAGAAGTATTTAACGGACATTTTTATAACACTCTGCAACACTTTCACTTAACTAGACAATACACATTGCGGTCGGTTATGTGCTGACCACATCAGATTTTTTTTATTTTAAGTTTATTTGTTGAAAGAGTTTTGAAAAAAATTCAAGAATAATATAATTTTTTGCATTTCATTAAAAAACTTAAGATCTTATTTTTTTTACCAAAATTGCGGTTTAAAAAAAATATCAACTGCTTTTCAGAGTGACGATTGTGATAAAAAATTAGTAATAGTTGATAAATAGAGTACTTAAAATCAATAAAAATAAAAAATAGTGGCAATTGATTTTTTACATTTTATTAGGGTTCTTAAAATCTTGACATAAAAATGGTTTTTATCCTATATCTCCTGTACCACAAAAGATTTTTTATTATATTGGGGACTTAAATTAAAAAAAGGCCAAAATTCTGAAACAAAAAAATCTAAAAGTTTCTGAACTTTTCACATAAAATTATGGTGATGAAGAAAATTAAAATACAAAATGGAAAAAATTGTTGTTTTCCATAGTTTGAATGCTTGATAGTCCGAAAATACATAAAATACAAAATGAAGTAATATGTTGCTTTCAAGATCTTTACTAACCCTTTCAAAAACAGATGAAGCAAGCCTTTATTTTTTTCTGAAGGGAAGTTATAAGGAAAAAAGTTTAATTAAGAATAACAAAGTTGTCGTATAAATATTATATAAATGTCATAAAAAATGAATTAATCGAAATTATCATAACAATTAACAAATCATAATGTTTATTTGATAATTTTTAGAAAATATGCAAAATATGCATTTTTCGCATGTTTTGAACACTTTTAATATTTTTAACGGCAAAACTATGAGAGCTAGAAGAAAAATGTTATATGAGTTAACTTTTAGATCTCATCGTAGCGCATCGAAAAAAAAAACGAAAAGAATTTAAAACAAAAAAATTGACATTGACGAACTGTATTTCGAGAACTATGACTCAATTCAAATTAATTGTAGCATCAAAAATAAAGAACGAGTCATCGCCTCTAAAACAAGCATTTATTTATATGCAAGAAAACTCCGGTACCTTTTTTGTTTAAAACAGGCTGTAGGTCGAAAACGAATACATCTACACAAAACACCCTCCCTCCCTCGCCCTAACAATTTTTTGCTGGAAATTGATCGAAGAATCATCCATGGAATTATTTGAAATATACATACTTATAGAACTAAACAATTAATTAAATTTTTTTTCCCAAAAAAGTATTGTACCAAAATAATGGTATGTTATTATATTAATATCAGATATGTTGCATTATTATATGTATCTCATTACTTTCTTTTAAATTGAAGCAAAAACTAGAAATAATATAATAAAGCTGTTACTATATATATTTTCTATTCATAAAAATCTAGTTTTACTATGAACGTTTAATAAAACATAATAATAGCACCCTTGTGGCAGCTTAACAATGACTACAAATTTTTTCTGTAGAAAAGACTAAAGAGTAATTTTATATATGTAAATATGTATATATGTATTCCGGTATTGAGTTCAAGAGTCTTTTATAACTATTAAGTACCTTAAATATAAATTATTATTGTTTTAAAAGACATAAGTTGTAATCATTTTTAATATATGTATGTTCTCATAATTACATATAAAATAAAAATGAATGCGAATCAAACGAAGAGTTTTTAATCTAGCATAGTTTCGAAGAGTAAGTGAAAACACTTTTTACTATATGAGTAAGTGACATCAATTTTGCCATATTAATAATCAAAACATATTATTTTGATTATTAATATGACGTAATCAAAACATCATGACTTATGACTACAAAAATTACCAAAAGAAGTGTTAACATTTGGTTTGTCTGGAATACAACTTGAAAAAACTTTCCAAAGAGAAAAAAAAAGAAAAAAATGCTCATTTAAACCTTGAAACCACTTAAGCATTAAGAAAATGACAACGTCATCATTTTCTCTCATATTTGATTAAAAAGTATTACACCAGGTGCTTTTCCATACAAAAACTTTATAAAGTTTTTAAAAACTTTTACAACAGGCAGACTAATGATCGGATTCGATCATTAGTCTGCCTGTTGTAAAAGGCAAAAAATAAAAATTATATTTTTTAAAATCAAGAAATTTGACATTTTTATAAAAATTTGGAAAGGGAGGAGGGTTAAAAAAATTTTCTCCAAACAAAACAAATTATTTGCTAATATCTTTAAAATTATTACCACTTTCCAAAATTTCATTTGCTACTTTTTCTCTTTTTTTCAAAATCTAAAAAGTTTTTGTTGTTTCGTAACAAGAACTTGCGCAAAATATCACTATAACTTTAGCTTAAATATACGAAGCTTTTCGACCAACAAACAAGCTTCCAGGAAAGGTGCGCAAGATAATAACAGTTAGCCCTTCTGCACCTTATTTTTCTCAAAGTAGCCCTGAAAAGGTTTATTTGGGAAGAAACCCTTCGGAATGTTTCTGTAAAATTTACTGTATTTCTAAAATTAAATTTTTTTCTTTAAAAAGTGTTTTAAAAATGTCAACTATTTTTAAGAATACATAATTGTTATTTTTGATTAAAATTAATAGTGGTTGAAATTTAGAGCACTGAAAATGTATAAAAATAAAAACTTGTGATAATTTTTTTAGTTTATATATTCTATCGACGCCTTTAAAATTTTGAAATACAGATGAGTTTTTCTTAATATCTCACTAAAAACGGATTTTTAAAGTTTGACCTATGTAAATTAAAGCTGACCACAATATACTCAAAAAATACATAAAATACAAAATCAAGTAAAATGTTGCTTTCAAGCCCTTTTTAGTCCTTTCAAAAATTGCTTTTGTAAACCTTTTATCTTTTTCGGGAGGAAAATTGTAACGATATGACAAGCTCTCCTACATCACCAAAATAGATTGTGGCTTGAGGTTTTTAAATTGAAAATAGTGCTTAAAAAGTTATTTAACAAACACAAAAAAGTCACAAAATTACTCAAAAATGAGTATTTTTTTGAGAATTAAAATACTTCTTTAAATATCACTCCAAAGTTTTACTACTCAAAATTTCCGAAGACCCAACAAATAAAATACAAAAATTACGAAAACCATTCTGTCTCCGTTTCAGCTATCAGTTATTTTATTTCTGGCTCTTTTTTATCATTTTTTTCTTAAATACTTTTTTTTTTATTTTTAATGCCAGTTTTATTGTATGCAGTACGGATGTCAATCATATTACATACAAGTAATATCTTCACAAATACTGAACTTTCAAAAATACTTTGCCGGAAAAGGATTGATTAACAACTATAGTTAACAAAATGACGGTTACAAGTAATGAGATGTTTGACAAAAATATTTTGGATGACGGCTTACAAGATTTAGGATTACCAGTATCGGTCCAAACATTTTTATGGAGACAAATAGCACCTTTTATAAGACCTAAACTAGGAAAATTACATGAAGCGAGTTGTATGGTAAGATATTTTGTGAATATACATATACTTATATACAATTATATTTTATTTTCATAAAAGTATTAATTATTATTCAAAAATAAGTTTTCACAAAATATAATACAATACTGTTCCTCTAGAAAAAATTAGCAATTACAAGTCATGTATGTATGTAAATATAAAAAAAAATATTAAAGGTTAAAAACAATATAAATATAAATTAAAATCCGCATTTGCTGTAAATAAAAGCCTTTTTAAATGTTAAAAGAATAAAAAGTAAAAAAATAAAGATAACAATTAAATTAATGTCAAATTAAAGAAATTATGCTGTTAATAATTTAAGCTTCGCATTTCTATTTAATTGAATATTACTTTTATACCCTGCACCTTCGTGAGGGTGAAACTATTTTTATACCCTCGTCCGTTCGCTCGATCGCACGGTAACTCAAAATCGAGTAAAGCAAATACGACCAAACTTTCACAAGTACCTTTTTTTGTGCCAAGAACAAACCCTATTGTTATTGCACCAATTCGGCCAACGTGTTCGGTTAACTGCCGTAAGCCTCCAAGAGATTATTTTAAATATTTCAGAAACGATAATACATACAAATATGAAATTTTGTTTAAATAGCTAAGTTTAAATATTCGGAAACATAGTAAGGTTAGATTGGCAGTAATCAGTTCAATTATAGGTCAGACATATTCATGAAAATTTTGGGAAATGGTTTGACAGGTTTGAGTAACTCCCATACTGCCATGAAAGGTAATTTTAAATATTTCTAAAATAAGTTTTTATACTCAGATTGTAAAGGTGCAGGGTATAATTCAGTCGGTTTAAACCGACTGAAACTTTTTTTTTGTTTTAATTTTTATATTTATTTTGTGATATGTTACTGATCATTTTATAATTTAGATGTTAAAAATAAATTCAAATAACACGCATCGGATTGTAATATTAATAAAATTTTTCTTTTGAAATAATATTTTATTAGTTTTTAATAAAAATGTTATTCTATGGGGCATATAATTATGTAATTTATATAGAAAATTGATGATTAATCACAACGTTTAAAAGTTCACTATTTAAAAGAGTAATTTTTCTTTTAGAATCCAAGCGCAAATAATTAAAATGAGATTGCTTTTAAACATTTAACGTTAAAGAAATAATAAAAAGGTAAAAACGTAAATATAGATGTATTAATCAATACATGAAGAAATTTGATTTTTGTATGAATAAAAATTATCCATAAAATTTAGATAATTTTTATATACATATAAGTTTCGTTCATATAAGCAGATTTCAGGAAAAGTATTTGAATTATAAACATTTAATGTTAGCATACAGTAAATTTTATAATATCAACTTAATAATGGATATTGATTTAAAATTGAATTTTGTCATCATTTTGTCTAAATCTTCAGTAGGATAAAGTTGATTTCTTCATGCTTATTCTAATTCAAATGTAAAGATCAAGTTTCATTAACACCTTCCATCGGCCTTGGTGATTATCCGCATGCACCTCTATGAAGCCCTGTGTTACTGACATATCTACATCGTGTACATATTTCCACCTCTATTGCCTTTTGTCAAAAAATGAATTATGTCATTGATATTTTTCTCCTACTGATTAAAGATATCTTCATTTTAGCTTTCGCTAATAAATTGACGATAATTCATTCATTTGGTCACTTGTTTTGCATATTGCATATCCTACCAATTATGTGTTTCAGACACTCATACTTTTAATTAACCGTTTTTCAAAACGATTCAACCTCGGCACTTATTTTTATCAATCTATTGTTTTTTCTTTCCCGAAAGGGTAAAGTTTAAAAAAATGTATTAGGCTTAATATTACCATTTTTTATAAAATCATTTTTAATTTATATTGACATTTCATAAAATTTATATACATAAATTATAATACATTGTACATAATAGATATACATACATATATATCTATAGGTATTATGATGAGCACGACGTAAAGAAAAAAAAAGAAAAACAATGTAATAAACATAATCGTTTTAACACAATTTTTTTTATAATCAGATTGCAATCTACATATATCTTAGAACTTCATTCTTTCATAGATACGTATTTACTTTTTTATTACTTTATTACACACTAAATGTGATATGTTTGTATTTATCTTATGCTTACACAACCAACACTCAAATTGTAAAAATTAATACAAAACCAATGCGATTTCATCCTTAAAATTAAAAACAAAATCAAAATCAAACTAAAAAAAAATTAACTATGACTGTTGCTATATCAGTTTTGCCAACATGCCCCCGGACATCATGTAAGTACAGAATTTTTCTCAATAATATTTATTTACTTTTGTTTACTTGTTTAGTTTTAATTTTTTTCACTACTTATACATTTTTCAAAAATTTATTCTACATTAGAATAAACAATATTATATTTTAAATTATAATTTGTAAAAATAAACAGAAAATTTGAAAGTGTTTGACTGTAATATTTTGTATAAAATACATACATATATACATACATATATATAATTATGTATAATTTGTTCTTTACTTTTAATATTTCTTTTTGGTTTTTTGTAAAATGTATGTATGTTTGTTGTACGTCAGTGAAAATTGGAAATGGTTTTTATATTTGATCAGAGTGATCATTTTTGTTCAATGATTGATTAAAACGATTAATCATTAAAGTTGTCGATGCTTCTGAATTCTTATAAGTATAAGTACAAAGACTTTACTTGTGTTCGTATTGATTACAGACTATTATCTCAACTTCAAAAAGAGTTCCCTCAAAAATCGATTTACATTTAAATATTTAAAATTCTCAATAAAAAAAAATTAAAGTTGAAAAAACTTTTAAAAAGTTTATAAATATGTGATAAACGTAAAATTTCAAAGTATTTATCAAACATAAACAAATAATTTTTTGTTATACCAGAAATAAGGAAGAGATTTTGAATCGAAACATTTTTTGGTTAGATCTTCCTACACCAAAATCAAATTTTTTAAAAACAAACAATTAATAAAGTTGGGTCAAACCAAAGGTTTGTATTGTAATGCTTTTTCATTCAATAAGTGAAAATGCAATCTATGTATATCTACCACACTATTAAAAATATTTTCATTCATATACGAAACTATTTCTGAGATTGCATATATTTCGGATGAACGATTTATGCAGTCTTTGAAATAAAACAAAAATTAATTTAAAGAAGGGTTAACATAATGCTCGATTTTAACGGTTAATTGCGTGAGATAAGAAAAATAATTATATTATATTTTTTAATGTCATGGAATTTACCGTTAGCTTTTTGCGTTTACAGAAATTTGAAAAAGCTTACGCTTTCGGAAATATAAGGTGTCAAAAATTCAAATTTTACAAATTTCAAGAGGCGATAAGTTGAGAGGGGGTGGAGACGGAAAGAAATTTTCTTGTAATGAAATAAACTATTTATTATTATCTAAAAGCTGCTAAAATTTCAGGCTCCTACAACCTGGGGTCTAGAAGAAAAAGGACATCAAAACTTTGGAAACAACAGATTTTAGATAACGGTAAATTTCAACGGCCATTTTGATTACAAAATTTGAAAAATGTCTATGGTTTCATTGCAACAAATAGTTAAAAAGGCCATTTTTAGGGTTTTGGGGTGCATATAACTTTTAGGTATGGGGAGAGAGGTAAAAATTTCTTCTTTTCCCAAATTTCTTTTGGGAACAAAATAAACATAAACAAAAACATACAAATACAAAACGAAAAAAAAAGAAAAAAAAATTGAAATTTTAATATTTTGAGAATTTTACAAAAACATTTAAATTTTGAAAATGAATACTGATCTACTTGATGCTAATGAAATTAATAATTTTGTTTTTCATTTATATCTATTTAATTTTTTTGGACTGTTCAAAAATTTTGAAAATAAGCGCTTATAGTTTCTCTCTGTCCATGTTGCCTTTGCATAACCCATGATGAAAGAAAACTGAAATTTCCGTTGAAAAAAATTTTAGTTACTTCCCTCTTCCTTTAAAAGTTATAACCCTTCAAAGAGCCATTTTAAAGAAACCATAAACATTCAAATGCGAAAAAGTTGCGACTGGCGTTTTTACGGTATAACCGAATATTAAAAAGAAATATCTGCTAAAATTAACAGTTACCTAAAGTCCGTGCCTTTTCAAGTTTTTTATATTGGTTTCCTTCTAAAAAATAAGTTATAGAAGTCTGAAACTTTTCTAGCTTTTAGATACTAATAAAAAATGTTTTTCAGCTCCATCCCCTCGCAATTTTTCGCCTCTCCAAATTTATAGAAGTCGCATTTTTAGCAGCACATATTTCCGAAACTGCAATAAATTACGCAATCAACCATTGAATTGGAGCACTATGTTAACGCCTTCATTTTTTTTTAAAAGCAGTATTCTTACTTGGAAAGTTGCTACTTAACAAACCATTCAAAGTTTGAACCAACATTTTCAATTTTGTTAGCTACTTTTAATATGAAATTTTTTCGATTATTTATTTGTTTTGTTCATTAAAAACAAAAATCTATATGTGACTATCTACACACACTATTACAAAATGTGTAGATATTATCGCAGTCATTACTTTTAATAATAAAAAAAACACAGTGTCCTTTTGAAAAAAATGGTTGAAAATCATATAATTTGATTTTGATGAACTGAATAATATACCTTGAAGATTTCAAAAATTTTTAAATTTTTGTTAAATTTTTGAATTACGAGTATAATATATTTATTATAAGTAGGTGGTAATGTGGATTTCTAACAAAAATAATTATGTATATTTGTGTTTGTATTTTTCATAAATATACGCACATATAAAAACGCTTCTTATTAAATTTTGTTAAGGGAAATTTCTGTTTTTCATTTTTTTAAAAGGAATATTGATTCAAGTCATCAATTATAATTTTAATATTTGGGTTTTGTTGTGCCTACTTGAATATTTTCATATAATTTGAAATTTTCAGTATATTTTTCTAAAAAACTAAAAAGTAAAAATTTCCCATCCAAAAAAAAAAAAAAAACTGAAAAGTAGAATTTTAAAAGCTGAAAATAGAAAAATTAAATGTTCACGTTTTTTTCTATGAATTCCAAGTCTATAAAATAGTTACAAAACTTCAAACATTGAAAAAATGAGAATATCATCATTTTCTCTCATTTCTGTTCAAAAAGTATTATCCCAGATGTTTTCGCATGCAAACACCTTATAAAGTTTTTAAAAGTTTTTAAAAACTTTCTTATACCAGACAGACCTATATTTAGTTCATATAGACTCGTTACATCTTTTTTGCGAAAAATCGATAGAAATTTATTCGTAGTTTGAATCGCTTTCGAAATAAGGAAAGTATTGGAAAGCCTATCGGAAAAGTTCACACAAAAATGATTGTCTATTAGGTTTGATATATGTACACATGTATGTATGTGTACTCGAATGTAAATGTATTACCAGTTTATTAAAAAATTTTCTATTTATTAAATAACATGTCATTACAACAAAAGAATAAATAAAAGGAAAGTTAACTATATTTATGTACGCTATTTGTATGTATATTTATAAAGGACTGTGACATCCACATTGCAAGTAAAGCACAAACTGCAACTGATCCAAAAAGTTTAGTAAGCACCAAATAAAAGCAAGAAGAGAGCAAACCGTGCATCTAAACATTTGAATATACTTTACTTAAACTTATTTAAAATGCATTGAAAATTTAAATCCAACTGCTGAACATTTTTATATGAAATTTAAGATTTTTTACATAAAAACAAATAAGTATTTTACATAAACTTGACAAAAAGTGTTTTTAAAGACAAATTTAAAGATGAGCGCTTTAGATTGAGTTTTTCTCTTGATTTATAGTATAAAATGTAATACCAACCGCTCTTGATTTATAGTATAAAATATAATACCAATCGACAAATTAAAAATATTAATGGAAGGAGCATCTTGAAAAACAGGTTAAAATTTTTTTATTTATATAATACGAGTATTTTTGAATAGCTCCTTATTTATTTGAAATATCTGTAAAAAAAATCAAATTTAAACAAAACTCGTTATTTGTTTTTCTCTTCGAATTGATTTATTTTAAAATTTGAAATTAAATAATCTTTTCAAGGCAGTATAATTTTAAATTTATTTTATAATTTAAAAATTGACGTATCTTTTCAGATTTTGTTTTGTGTTAATTGTTACTTGCAATGTATTTGTTGTCAAGAACCATGATGTTGGCAAAACATTTTTCAATGTGAGACGTTGTTTTGATGACATTTAACTAATTTTTAAAATTTCAGATATCTGACCATTGGTGCAGTGGTTATGGCACCGGTCCTTTAACCGAAGGATCTCGGGTTCAAACCCCGGTCAGGTCACTATAAAAATTATATTAAATATTATTATAACTTAATATACAATACTAATAAATATTATACAAGTAATTTTCAAATATTCGTAATATTCCATATTAAAAAAAAAACTAAGAAAAATAAACAGTAAATATTAATAACCTCAAATAATTAATATAAATAAAACTACGGCAGATTAGTCACCTACCTAGTTAAACTCTATGACGCTATGAAACTAGTGCATGAGAAATCATGCACTTGCCCTATGCTCCTTCTAGGAGTGAATAAGGAAAAAAAAAAAAAAAAAAAAAATTTCAGATACAAAATAATTCTCAAACATATATTTGCCATCACACTCAAATAAGACATGAGTGGAGTCCTCCATGCCCCGATCGCAGAATCTACATCACTGCGTATTTGATCTGCCAATTTTTTGTAAATATGAGTTAAAGGGACCATGCCCAATAACAAACTTCGATAGAACCCTCAATAAGAGCGGCTCCGCCTTACAGTGTCAGGAATGCCCCTGATCCGTCGACCAAAGAAGAATTTGGACCGCAATAGCCACGCACGGGAGCGCCATAGCTCCCAAAAGCGCCTTTCCATCCAGGCAGCCACGAGGCAACGAAGATCTCCGCCTGAAAAACGGAGAAAGCTTCATCGTCTTGATTAAGAAGTCCGGCGCCTACAGGAGCTCCCAATCCAACTTCCTCCAGGACGGAGTTGTGGTCTGTCAAGCTACGTGCTATATATTCTGATAGCCTCAGTTTTGGAGCCCTGGCCGCCGCAAGGCCACCAACATGCATATGCAAGGGAGCAAGTCCCAGCATCCTCTCAAGCGCTGCCGTCGGCGAACTCCTCAGAGCACAAGTGGCGCCCAGACAAGCCCACATTTGTATTCTGCTAAGGACAATTTGGGCCACCGCTTGCCTTGTCTTGGGCAACCATACAAAAGCAGCGT